AACAAGTCCCACGTGAAGAAAACACACAAGGTGACGCTCTGGCCGCCGTCGGATCATGTCTGGGGGCAGAAATCAATCGCAACATCCCTTATGTGCACTTGATGAGCCCAGCAATTTACAGATCAGAGGTTGCCTCTACCATTGAAACCCCAACACAAGACGACTGGACACAACAATACATAACGTACTTAAAGCACAATACTCTCCCAGAAGACAAGAAAGAGGCCAAGGCTTTCCTATCCAAGGTAAGTAAATTTCTACTAATTGACGGTGTGCTATTTAAAAGATCTGTCGCAGGTCCATTTCAAAGATGTATGACACCGCAAGAAGCCGCCAAAGTATTGAAAAACCTTCATGAAGGGGAGTGTGGCAATCACGCAGCAGGGCGAAGTCTATCTAACAAAGCTCTTAGATTCGGATATTACTGGCCAACCATGAGAGAAGATGCAACCACTTTCACCCAAAGATGCAAGCCTTGTCAGATGCACGGACCAATTCGTCATCAGCCTTCCGAGTCGCTTCATCCAGTTCTATCACCATGGCCCTTTATGAAGTGGGGCATGGATATTGTAGGAAAATTGCCAGAAGCGCCGGGGCAGAAAGTATATATGCTGGCCATGACGGATTATTTTTCAAAATGGGTGGAGGCTGAGCCTTTTCGTCAGATACGAGATGACCAGGTAATTTCGTTTATCAAGAGAAACATCCTTTGCAGATTCGGCGTTCCTTCAGAGATCGTCTGTGACAACGGATCTCACTTCATAAGCGCTAAGACCAGACGTTTTTGTGAGAAGTACAATATCAAATTGGAAACGTCGACACCTAGGTACCCGCAATCTAATGGGCAGGCCGAGTCTAGCAACAAAATTATCATTGCCAACTTAAAGAAGAGGCTTGAAAAGGCGCAAGGCCGGTGGGCTGACGAATTGCCCTTGATACTCTGGGCAGACAAGACAACTCTGAAAAATGCAACCGGACAAACCCCATTCTCTTTGGTGTATGGCTGCGAAGCGGTCATTCCTGCTGAAATTGAAGTACCTTCTTCAAGATATGGACTCATGACTGGGGAGTTGAACAATGTGGAGTTGACGCACGACTTGGATACCATTGACGAGATCCGTGAACGAGCCAAGATCCGCTTGCAGACATATCAACAAATGGTTGCGAGAAGCTATAATAAAAATGTCCAGGCAAAGGTGTTCAAAAGGGGAGATTGGGTCTTGAGGAGAGCGTTTGGCAATGAAGCAGCCGGGAAATTTAGTCCTAATTGGGAAGGACCTTACAAAATCATTGACGTCATTGGTCAGGGAGCATAGCGCTTGGAATCAATCGATGGTAAACGAGTCCCTCGAAGTTGGAATGCGGTACATTTAAAACATTTTCATTTTTAGCAAAAGTTCCTTTTCTTTTCTGCATTTCTATCCCTATTACTAAATGAAATAGCTAACTTGGCCGTCGGAGGGCCGTTGGCTTAAGGCCAGCGACCAACCCTGACAATAATTGTAAATACAGGAAGGCACACAAAAATGGTCAAGTCACAGGTAATTAGTTACAGTTCACGTAATCTTGAATATGGTAAATACAATTCATCGTTCACTAACTTGACCGTCGGAGGGCCGTTGGCCCCAAACCAACGGCCGATCCCAACGGTACGGTATCATCGCAGGACTATGACAGGTTAAGATCGAAATACCAGGTGACCGAATACCAGAACAACAGATAGAACATCAGATCTGCTCATGACAAAACATCAGCATACAGGGGACATGGGACTCATTATGAAAAAGCCATAAATGAAGTTCCATGAAACCAAATACGTTTTGGCCAAAAACACACACGCATTTATGACACAGCATGACATGTTGCACACATAAACAGCAGGCATGCATACACAACAAAATACACATAAACAAAAGTATGATCCAAGCAATAGCAAAAACAGTGACAGATTCACATAATGGTGTGGACAGGGCTAGGCTAAACCGCCAAGCGTGAAGCCCATGTGTAGCGCGATAAGGCGTTAAGTCCCGGATAAACCACCGGGAACCCTTAACGCAGGTCGAAAAGTGTCAGAGTAATTCAAAAGCAGGGAATGTTTGTAATCCAGCGGAAAAAAGGGAAGCATGATCATCTGACCGGTAAACATTAAAGATCAATCTCATCGTCAGAATGACCCACCTCGAAGCCGTCTTCTCCTACAGGAGGATCCATCTCTTCCCTCAGTTTATGCCATGTAGCTACATCCCGTTCCGCTGACCGGTGTGTCATTTCTCCTTTAATAAAAGATGTCATCAACTCACCCCTGGTCTTCCATACATAATAGCAAGCGGCGTCAATTACTTCTTGTTTCTTTTTCCGACCATAAGCCTCCAAGGATTTAACTCTGGCGTTGAGCTGCAGAATTTGGGCAGATTGAGTAGAACTTTTGTCTTCCAATTCTCGAACTAACTTTGCATTCTTATCAAGTGAAGATACTAGGGAAGTCTCCTTCTGTTTCAGCTCATCAACGGTTCTCTCTAGTAAAGAGACACGAGCAGCAGCGACAAGGCCCACTTGAATACTCTGAAAAAGACAAGACAAGTTAGTCAAGAGTAAAGGGAAGGAAGCTCACTAAGCATGGTGATTCATCAGCACCTGAAACGCATAAGCGGAAGAAGCAGCAATAACACCGGTAGGGGGCAAGCAGTCAAAAAGGGGAGCAGAGGAAGCCAATTGAAATTGAGCCATTTCGTCTTTCATGGTCAAAGCGTCCTTCAATTCACAGAATTCCGGGGAAAGTGATAAGTGCATAACTTGTGGTGGCTTCGCCCAGGTATCAACCCCATGTTCCGCATTAGGGGCATTAGGAGTTGTGGCAGCATCAGGCGTCGGGTACTTGGGAACCTTTGGAGGATTTGCTGACAATTTAGAGGGCATCCTTTTCCTCCTCGATGCCATAGCCAACAACTCGTGGTCAGAAGGAACGGAACGAGAAGTGCTTGATGAAGTAGCTAAACAAATAAAGAGGAATAGAAGTTAGGGGTAATCGATCCAGCACTAATAAAGAAAAGCATAGACCTCAGATAATACCTGCAATAGGAGTAGAATCCTTGAGTGGGGGCACGGGAGTATTCTTAGCAATCGGAAAAACAACCTGTAAAGGGACGAAAGCGCTCATACCCTCGCCATCATCTTTGGAAACTTCAGATCCTTGCCCTGAATCTTCTACGGAAACGACATGTGAATTCTGATTCAAATCGTGTGCGGTAGGGGTGTGCCTACGAGACCGCCTTAACCCCACATAATCAGACTCAACGGGAAGAGGCGACGTACCTTGAAAGTCTGACACCAGGTTCACATAAGTTCGATCCTCAATAGGGAACGAAAGGATCCTGACATTTCTCTCTTCAGAATGCAGACCGGGAACCAATGGAATAGTCTTCCTCTCTGCACGTCACAGAGAAACAATGCCAAATACATCAAGTTTTATACATATCTCCGGGCACGCAGAAAACATGCTGAAATTACCCAGTTCCATTACCTCCACCCGAGGTTGCAAATCAGATAACAAAAATAGAAGACGAAAATCAACCGAGCAAGTCAAGAAACGCAATTCGAAAGAGAAACTAACCTTTGTGTAAATTCTCTTCCAGGAATGATCCGTCAGCACCTAACGACTCTTTATTTACAAAAAAGTACAAGTTCATCCACCCCCGGTCGTTAGCTTTGTCCACCTTATGAATGATGGCCTCTTTTCCTTCCTTCACTGCTAAAGTAAAGCGACCGGCTCCTGAAGATCTGAGGTCGTAGGTGAAACCCAAGTCTTCAAAATCTAGGGCCAAACTATGTTTCTCACTCAAGACCTCTAAAGCTCTGAGTACCCTCCATAGTTGGGGCATGATTTGGGAAGGCGATACTCTGACGAAAGCAAGAAAGTCTCGGACTAAACGTGAGAATGGGAATTTCATACCTATCTTGAAAGGGTACATCAAGAAATTTACCCAACCATCACAGAACCAATCTATCCTCTCGTTCGCTGCTGGAAAACGAATAATCGCGTCGTGGGGAAAGCCGATAGATGACCTGATAAAGTCGACATGATATTCTGAAAGTTTCGCTTGCTTTGAATTATTTGGATCTAAAATGTGTTGCGGAATGAAGAGTTGTGAAGCCATGAAGAACCAAGGCGCTGACTGGGATTTGCAAGAAATCGAAAGGAGAGGAGAGGAAGTTTTTCTTGCTGAATTAATTCACTAAAGGAAGAAGAGACTAGCGATTGATTGATACCGAACGACTGACGGCCTTACACATTCCAAGGCGATGTCATGATGAAAAATTCAAAAAATCGGTTGGCCCTTTAGTTTTTCAAGATTGCCCCTCCCCCCCCCCCCCCCCCCCCCCCGCCCCCCCCTCTTCTTTGAATTGGGGGTAATTGTTGGGCCGTGGAAATACAAGAAGCAGATCGGCCCATCCCTAAAAGGTAATTAAAGACGAAGCCCGATAGAATAGAGGTCAAGCTGATGCGGATAACTACAAACCCCAACGGAAGGATTAAACTTGAAGAGAAAGAATAGCAACTGTATGCATGAAGATAGGAGAAGCCTAATATCCAGGAGCCTATTTCGCCGGATAATTGAGCCGATTACGAGGAGTGCTATTGACGTATAAGTATAGCTTAGCTTAATGGAGGAAGGGGATAATCGACCAATTATTTCCATTCTATTTGTATTCAAAAGTATGCTTTTAAATTAATTTAAGTCTTGCTTAAACAAACTTCATTATTAGTAAAAGGCCCTTTAATATTTGTATTAGAGGACAAATCAGTCCGCTAAAGAAATAAAAAGGTACGCCTAGCATTTTTGAAGGTACCCCAAAGACTAATAAATCAGCGATAAATTTGACGGCATAAAACCTAGGTACGTACGTAGCCGCCGTTATATTTATCAACTGGATTAGATCTACAGCGCAGCAAACTCAATAACAGGTAGGGTAAGTATATACCATACGTAAGTCCTTGAGAACGAATTGAACAGATAAGTGAGATGCAGACTCCGGGCTCCACCTTCTTCTTCCATCGCAATTCTCTGCCGGACTCGATCGGGAGTGTCCAACTATGCACAGAGATTTTTGTAAGCATCGACGAGGAGACGCACGAGAGGTACGATTATGAACTAACTCGACATCACCCTTTCTTCCGTTTACCTCCTGTAAGTGTTCTAAGGACTTTCGTAGTGGCCATTGACTCAGTTGGCAGCTGTTCTTTCGGTGGCAATAAGAATACCATTACGGTCCACAAAGGTGCTTGCATTAAAACGATAATCAACGCGTCTGGGCCTGGGTCCTATAGTACGAAGGTCTCCCGGAATTTTGTTGCCCTCAAGGTAGTTCAGGATCCGGAATCCATATCCAGGGTGAAGGAAGATTTGAGAAGAAACCAGGGCTTCGAAGATATGCACCCGAATCTGTTGAGAGTGAGGCACCATTTCACGGACCCTAAATGCCAGAAGTTCTGCGTGGCTATAAAGCCGTTTCCCATCCGTTCTCTGAGAAGCCTGATGAAGAGCGACTTTCCCAAAGGGCTTCCGGAGGATCTCATCCTCAGTGCACTCCGATCTGTTCTCAATGCCCTCGGCTTTCTGCATAAAAACCGCTTGCTCCACGGAGATATTAGCGCCGCTCACGTTTACCTCTGTAATCACACTCCTAAGCAGAGACGCACCCCTAACCGTATGGAAAGGGATAGGCCTTGGCTTATATATGAGAAACCCAACTTCTCCAACATCTGTTTAGGCTACGCCGCCGCTCTTTATGAAGACGATGAATATACGGAGGAGTACACCTCCTTATATTCGTCTACAGCGCCAGAAGTCTACTATGGCAATCAGCCCTACACCGAGAAGTCCGACGTTTGGCTCGTGGGAATCACCGCGCTCGAATTGGCTTACGGCCGACGGCTAAATGTCTCGAATCGATATACCTTGGATTATGTTGTGGAACAGATTCTTGTAAACAATAAACTTCCCACCAAGGGTGGGCTCCATTGTAAAGAGAAGACGTTGAAGCATTACGTCCAAAAACTGGTGCCTTTCAGCTCTCCATTTAAAGGCTATGACAGTACTACTGGCGCAAATTCATTTTCCAAAAGCTTCGTAAAGGTGGTGATGGAATGTCTGGCCACTGACCCTAATCAGAGGCCGACCGTTGATCAACTTCTGTCTCGCCGCTTCTTCCGAAGGAGCTCTGGCCGCAATGATGGGAAACACGTCTATCATGCATGCTCTGCAAGTGACTAATTTTGAGTAAGGCAGATGTAAGCACCCCCATCTATCTCCTCTATCCTCATGCATCTCCTTTCACATGCAGCTTGGGTATTTAGTTTACTTTTAATTCCTGTATTCAATACAGTCATTCTCTTGTCCTTGAATAGTAGGGAGTACTCTAATTTCTTCTTTCTCCTGACATTGTCTCGTTTTACCTTTTTTCTATCGTCCCATTAAGTTTGTCTCATACCATATTTGGTAATATTTGAATGATTAGAATTCATTCTTACTTTATTCACACTTTATCAATTCAATATCACACTGCACCCCTTTGTCCCAAACTCAGGGGGACGGAGGTAGAGTTACTTTTGTGGTGGATGGTGATAAAATTTGAATATATATATATATATATATATATATATATATATATATATATATGTATATATATATATATATATGTATATATGTATAGGGGTGAGATCACATACAAACTATGCTTAACTTACTAACCTACAAACTCAATAATGTGCAACACTTTGAACATCAATATGCAGTAAAAATCATGTAAGGATGCACTCTTTGAATTTCAATATGCAATACAATTAATGTAAAAATGAAACTGCTATTTTATAGCTTGAATAATATGAAACAATTTGAACTTCAATGTGCAACACAAATAATGTAAAGATGATTTGAATGTGAGAACTAGTTTGTATGTGATCTCACCTCTGCATCTTTACATTATTTTTACTGCATATTGAAGCTCAAAGTGATGCATATTATTGAGTTTGTAAGTTAGTATTTTAAGCATGGTTTGTATTTGATCTCTTATCTATATGTATATATATTGATGGAGTATATGGCCCGGGAACCTCCGGCCCACAGACTCCTACTACTCCAGCGAAGGCCCAAAAAGCCCAACAGGCCCAAATCACAGCGCCCAGAGTACCAAGCAGTCCGCACTACGCGCCAAGAGTGCCTTCGGCCCCCTGGCCGAAGGCCCCAAATTCTCACAGAACGGGTTTATCAAGCAAATTAAGAAACTGGGAGAAAACGGCGAAAACAGTAGCCCTCGGCATTGTGAGCCCTCGGCACCAGGGTGCCATCGGGTGGAAGAGCCCTCGGCTACTACTCTATAGCCGAAGGCATCTCACTCGACAAGATATTCGCCTCACATGCGCACAGATCACCGTACCCCGCATAGACGCCCCATCCAACAGCCGCATTAAATGCGGCCGCATGCGGCTGCCAGCGCCAACCAGTTGAGGTGACCCCTCGGCCAATGAGCGCTTGACACGTGTCCCTGCCCGGCATTTATTGCTACTATAAATAGCACCCCATTTCCTCATTTGTAACCGCGCTGAAAACGGCATTCATACTGAATACACTCTCTCTCTACTTTTACTTACTTGCTCTGACTTCTCTCTAAGTTACTCCCCGTAATAACCCTTCGGATATATACCCCCGGGTAGACTATCTATCATTTGGTGCTCTCGTTGAGAGCTGAACAATCGAGTAAGAAACCCTCCCCCTCGACCAAACATAAAACACTAGCCCTCTATGAAAATGGTGAGGACAACACGTGCCAACTCAAAGAACGTAGAAGACAAGAACCTGGCCCTCGGCGACGTCAACGCCCCCGAAGCCTCTCACAGGGCTCCCGAGGGCTGTGTCATCGCTGGGCTGGAACAGGCGGCTGTCGACCTACGCCTTCAGATCCAACAAAATGCCCCCGATGCCCGCCTCGGCATCGAGGCCAAGAAGAAAAACCGGAGCGATGACCAAGTCAGCCCTCCGGTTCTCACCATCGACGTGCAATCGGCGCTCTCCGCCTTCATCCAGACGCTCACCCAGAACCCGGGTGCCTTCGGCACCTTGGCTCCAGCTCACCCTCAGATCGGGGAGAATATCATACTTCCCCCTCTGCCACACCCCTTCGGAAATCCCACCCCTCGGGTGAGAAACGACGAAGGGGTGGTGGCCCAAGATACGTCCTCCCAGGAAGTTCAGTCCCGGGACAGCCATAATGACAACAGGGAAAGGCCCCGTACTTCCGCCCTCAACCGGCTCGGAGGAGGGCCAGACCGCCGAGGGGTCCAAGACCGCCTCGGGGGGAAAGCACTCCAAAGACCCCAGGAAAGCGGGGGATCTGTTTCGAGGGCAGACGAGGAGCGTCCCCCTCGGGACAAAGGCAAGGCACCCCTTCATACCGATGATGCTCGGCACCAAATCAACCAGGCCCACTCGGCCCGGGTTCGTTCGCAGGGGGCGGAGACCCTCCCGAAGGATCCCCGGGACGAGATTATTGCGGCCCTCCAACGCCGGCTTGACGAGATGGAGTCCAACAAAGCTCACGCCACCACCTCCACCCCTCATTCAGATCTCAAATACGAGGCCATGATGGCCAAAATGGAGGAGTTACAGAAGAGGGTGGCCGAGGGCTCCGGGGAACCCGTCATCCAGCTCCGGACTCGGACGCCATTTACCCCAAGGGTATTGGCGGCCCGGATCCCGGAAAAATACCGAGGGCAACACATACAGCCCTACAACGGGAAAACGGACCCCCAGGAACACTACAGCAAATACCAGAACAGCATGATGATGGTGGGGGCATCAGACGAATATTTGTGTCGTTGGTTCCTCTCCACCTTAGAGGGGCCGGCGTACGAATGGTTCAACAGGCTGCCCGAGGGCTGTATTGATTCATGGCAAGAACTCGCCCAGCGGTTCTTGACGCAATTTGCCGGGAGGCGTCGCACAAGGAAACACTTCTCCCACCTCCTAACAATACGCCAGAGGAAGGATGAGACCCTTCGGGATTTCCTGGAGCGCTGGAGGACGGAGGCCGACAAGGTCGACGGTGCTGATGACGGGACCCTCCTGGCCCTCCTACAAACCGTCCTCCGCATCGGCAACTTTTCGAGGAGCCTCATCATTGAACCCCCCGCGACTACATAAGGGCTTTGCAGCGGGGGGACCGATATGCTAAGGCCGAGGAGGTGGAGAAGTATCACCAGCATCCGGACCAGCAGCCCCCGAGGGCTGATAACAAGCATAACCGGGGGCCGGGGGCTCCTCCAAATCACCCCAAGACTTCGGGACCCTCTGATGACCGCCCTCGGCAAGGCCAAGCCAAGCCCGGGGGAGGTTATAAGAGCAGCCCTAAGACTTGGGCCCAGCCCATTCTCCTGGACCGCCCTCGGACACCATTGACGCACCCCGTCAGCATCATCCTCGATTTTGCCGAGGAGAGGGGCCTCGTTGAGCGCGACTCTCGCGCACCCCCGGAGGTACACGCTATCAACCCTCAGTTCCCCTACTGTCGCTTCCATCGGCACCAGGGGCACAGGACCGATGACTGCCATCAGCTAAAGACGGCCATCGAGAGGTTAATACAAGCAGGGCACCTGTCCCAATTTGTTCAGAGCCCTCGGCAGGAGGGACCTTCTCATCAGGGGCCTCCCCGAGTGCACCACACGAAGGTGAACGCTTGGGTAAACCCGAATACCATCCCCCTCGGCAAGAAGAGGGAGATTGGGAACTTGGATGAAGAGGAGGAGGAATACCCCCACTACCAGGAGAAAAAACGCCACATCCTCATTGTCACCGGTGGCAATACAGGGGGCGATTCCACCAGCCAACGAAAGAAGTGGGCTCAATCGCTTTACGTGGGGGAAGTCACTCATATGCCCCCGGTAAAGCGACTGAGGGAGGAACCCATCACCTTTACCAACGCAGATCTCCCTCCTACTTCTTCTCCTCACAGGGATGCCTTGGTGATTCGGACGGAGATAAACGACACCATCATTCACCGAACTTACGTTGACACGGGCAGCTCCGTCAATGTAATGTACCTCAGCACCTTCAGAGAGCTGCATCTGGAGAGGGGGTCCCTTCGGCCCATTAAGACCCCTCTTGCCGGCTTCACCGGCGACACTATTGATTCTGAGGGGGTAATAACCCTCTCGGTGATCTTCGGCGACGGGCTCCATAGAGCCCAGCTCGAGGTGGAGTTCGTCATCGTCAACATTGACTGCGCCCACAACATCATCCTCGGCCGGCCAGCCCTCGAGGACCTCGAAGCCATCATCTCCATGAGGCATCTCTGCCTCAAGTTTCCCGCCGAGGGGGGAATTGGCTACTCCCGGGGGAACCAGAAAATTGCCCGCGCCTGCTATCTTCAGGTCACTAAGAAGGTAAGCAAGACGGAATTCCGTGTTGACACCATCACCGGAACCATCGACCAAGAGGAAAGAAGGCCGAGGGCTGAACTGGCCGAGGACGTAGAAGACTTTGCGCTCGATCCGGCCCAGCCGGAGAGAGTCGTGAAGATTGGAGCCTAGCTCCCTAGAGATTTGAAGACCGGTATCACCGACGCCCTCCGCGTCTACTCCACTGTCTTTGCATGGGGGCCGGAGGACATGCCGGGAATCGACCGAAGGGTCATCACCCACCGCCTCTCGGTGGACCCTTCGGCAAAGGCAGTGCAGCAACGAAGAAGACCCCTCTTCGCCGAAAGGAGGGAATTTGTGAAGAAGGAGGTCGCCATGCTCCTCTCTATTAAGCACATCAAGGAGGTGAAATACCCCTCATGGCTAGCGAATGTGGTCCTGGCACAGAAGCCCCCTACCTTCCGCATGTGCGTGGACTACACCGATCTCAACAAGGCATGCCCTATGGACCCGTTCCCTCTACCAAATATTGATCAACTAGTGGATGAGACCGCAAGGTGTGAGATCATGTCCTTCCTCGATGCCTTCCGAAGGTATCACCAAATTTTTATGCACGAGGAAGACGCCGAAAAAACTGCCTTCATGACTCCCGAGGGCATCTTCTGCTACCTAGTCATGGCCTTCGGCCTAAAGAACTCAGGGGCCACCTACACCCGGATGGTGGCCCGGGTCTTTCAAGCCGTCCTAGGGCGCACCATGGAGGCCTATGTTGACGACATGATCGTCAAAAGCAAACAATCTTCCAGCCATGCTGACGACCTCCGGGAAATCTTCGCCATCATGCAAAAATTCAACCTTCGGCTAAACCCGAAGAAGTGCACCTTTGGCGTCCAAGGGGGCAAATTCTTGGGCTACATGGTGAGCCGAAGGGGTATTGAGGCCAATCCCGAGAAGATCCAGGCCATCATCAACATGGAGCCCCCACGCAACGTGAAGGAAGTTCAACGGTTGACGGGCCGCCTGGCAGCCCTCAACCGTTTTCTATCTAAATCGGCGGAGAAGTCTCTACCCTTCTT